TCAACTCCCAGAATTCCCCAGCCAGCATTCGCTGGCTGGGGAATTCTGGGAGTTGAAGTCCGGACATCTTCAAGTTGCCAAGGTTGGGAAACACTGTTCTAGACAAAGCTTTTATCTACATATGTTAACATGCATTCTTCCAAGTTGAAATTGTAAAACTCCAAGCAGGTGGAAAACACCAGTGAAGGTGCATGCGTGTCTTGGCATTCCATTCGTGCTGCAGCCTTCCCTCACTTGGAACCTTATGGCTATAGGATGAGAATTCTGGGACTAGTGGGCTCAGCATTCGTGGAGGGCCCAGCTGGGAAAATCCAGGGGAGGACGAGACTCAAGAGTGAATTTCACATTAGACACTTTGCTAATGCTGGTGCCAGTGACTCTACTGTTGAAGCATGAAACTTAACCATGGCTCCCTCATCAAGGCAGTGTGGTATAGTTAAGAAAATGGCAGTGTCATGGCTAGCTATTACCAGCCATTAAATATTGCCACTGTCTAGAAGAGGTGAAGAAATGTCCCTTCTGAAGAGTCGATAATTGTGCAAACTTTGAAGGGAAAAAACCCCAAAACGTGCCAGGATGTTATTTCAATATCAGTAGCCACATCAGATGGCAAATAACATTCAGTTCCTCATTCAGTTGTCACTCCTTCAGTCCAGATGGCCGTTTGGCTCTGCTCTTAGGGTAGAATTTATTTTAATTTGCAAAAGCAACTGAAAACCTTTCCGTAAACCTTATTAATTGGGGAAAAGATGCTTGTCAAGGTGGCTCTCGCCCCTTGTGTCAAACAGCTTCCTGATCCAGCTGTTTGAAATGTTTGCTTTCTGTTTAGATGGATGAGCAGTTCTCGGAATTCTGCAGCAGCCTGGAGAGCCAGTGGAAAGGGTCAGCGGTTTGCATTTTTTCCACCCGCTGCAGAAGCCAGGAAAGTTTGGTTCAGCATATGGCTGGGCTTCACGAGGGGGGTTCCGTACACACATGCAAAAAAAAAAAAAAGAGGAGCACCGGAGGGTCAGATCCTGCATACTTTGGGTAGCTCTTCATCATTGATGCTCTGCTAGCCTAATTTTGAGTGGGATTGAGTGTGGTAACCTGAAGGGCACATTGCAGTGGTTGGTTTCAGTTTCTCCCCGGAAATGGGATAGGGATGCTGGCACTCTAGCGATGTTTTCCGCAATCCAATTGCTTTTCTTTAAAAAAACAAAAAAAAAAGAAACCCGAAGATTTCTAACCAGCGTGGCTCGAAAGATAGACTGGAAAGTATGCAAGCAATCTCTAGAATGTATTCCTGGCAGCCCCGTTCTTAGGCAAAACTGGTGTTAGGTGTCACGAAAGGCCAGCAAATTAGAATTGAATACGCTCTTGCCTTTGATTGCCAGCATCATAGAAAAAAGAAAAAGATACTTGTGGGATGGTTTGCCTCCAGTGTCATTATAACTTGGCTGTCTTTAGGTGCAATCTTAAACTGGAGGGATGGAGACGTCAACATTTCTGTTTGATTTCAAATGGCACAATATTTAGGTTAAGGTCTGTCCTATTAGAACCCCCTGTGGAAAAGGTCTGCTTGTTAAAGATATGGGCTTTTTATGCTTGGCATACAAACGTTCCTTGCTTCTCCTGGCTCCTTATACTGTTAGCATAGTAAATGATGCAAAACCAAAAAAACGCTTGCGAACATTTATTCAACTTCCTTAGTTTACATAGAATTGTCTGCGTCCTTGGTGTAAAACTATGTAAGGAATTTTGCAATGCAAAAACCAAAAGAGGATTTTTGCTTCACTGCCACTAGATGTGAATCACATTGAACATTGGATCTGAATAGGACTGGAGGTTTTTTAGCCTTTTCGGGGTATTCAGTGACGAGACAATTTCTTATATGAATACTGGTGATAAACTCAACTTTTACAAGCATTGTTTAATCGACCTTAGCCTTCATATATGCAAGATTTCAAAGGAGAACTTGTTTATTTATTTATCATATTTATACATCCATTTATACAATCTCATAAAATGTTACTCAGCACCGTTGTACCTCAGAACAATTGCTAAATGAATGGTCAAAAGCTGTGGACTACCTGTACTTCTTAAATTGGAAAATAAATAAGGCAAGCAATTTTAAAAACCAGAATGGATATATAAGTAATGGTGTTGCATTATAAAATCAAAATGATGGTAGCAGATGCTCCAGGGATCGCCTCAGCAAATTATTAAATTGGAACAAGAATTAATAATACATGAAGCAGCTATGCAGTTTACTAGTATATTACATAGTTCAATGGTTTATTTGGAAAGTCCCTATGACAGTGTTTCTCAACCTTGGTGACTTTAAGTCCTATGGACTTCAACTCCCAGAATTCCCCAGCCAGCTATGGGGAAACACTGCCCTATGATCACTAAAATCCACTTCTTTTAGTTGTATTGTTTTATGTTTATAACCAATTCAGGTTTTACAAGGAGATCAACTGATCTTCCAAATTATTGCAACCTTTAGCTTGGAAGTTTCTATGAAATAAGAGAGACTAGTTTGCGGATGCACTTCTCGGACTTCCTCCTTCAGTTGTCTGCAGCCTATTTAAAAGAGGGAAAAAAACCCTGTAAAATGGGAAAAGCAAAAAAAAAAAGTTGTTTGAGGGGATATTTCCCATCTTATTGAAAAGCAGTCTTCCACACCCATAACCATGGAAGTGGTTAAGTGATACTTGCAAAGATAGGGGGTTTTCTAGCTTGTGATTTCAAATGGTAACTCTTGATTTGATTGTTGTGGCGCACTGTTTCACTTTATAAGGCACACACAGACTGTTTAATTACCGTGCAGCGACCAAGTCTAATGAATGATTACCATATGGCTCTCTTCAATTACCTTTGGGAGTCCTTGTTTGCTCTTTTGCTTGTCAGGCTTTCAGAATTCTCTATAATGAACACAACAACAGAGGATGTTGATAGGATTATGGCTGCCTGTGGTGACTTCAGAAGATGGAGTGTGAGGCCAGATGGGCAATCAGCTACTGTCTTCTCTTCTCTTTGCAGCTCTTGGAATATATAGGGAAAGGGAAGAGCATCATCGATGTGGGTCTTGCACAAGCTCGACAGCCTTTGAGTACCAGGAGTCACTACTTTGAGGTGGAGATTGTGGATCCGGGAGAGAAGTGCTACATCGCCCTGGGCCTTGCCCGCAAGGTAAGAAAGCTCAGGAGAGAATGATCCGCCTTTAGAGGTTCCCTCATTAACTTGATGTTCCCAGGTGCACAGTCCCAATGGGACATCAAATTGGGGAAAACAACTTTGGGTATGTATGAAGGAATATACTGTGTATTGAGAGAAGGTAAGAAGCTCCCTTTAACATGGAGCTTTTCAAGTCCTCTTTTCCTTGCGATATACCTCCTTAGGGCTCACCCACACAGCTTTAAGCCAAAACTCTTCGTTGGGATCTTTCCCTTGGTGTCCTCTGGGGAAGTATCACCCGGTTTACCAAATCCCACAATCAGTGACAAAAAATGTTTGTGGCTGCCCACAAAAAGTGCTGTAGGGAAGAACTAAGCAGGAGCTAACAAAAGGCTTAAGTTTGCTTCTCAGTTTAGCTTTGCATTCCTTGCTCTTTTAAATGTCTGCAAAACTGAAGATGGCTGGCAGTATCTCCCAATCTTGAATTAAAGGTGGGGTTTAATTTGACCGGTTTGAGGCTTCATTGTTAGGGCAAGTCAGACAGCAGATGTTTGAAACTCTCCATATGAAATGATGAGTCACTGCATGGTCCAGCTGCCAAACAGAAATCATACCACGGACTCTCCTTGTCGCGTTCATGAGGGGTAGGATGAACCTAAAGCAGTGATGGATCATGGAGAAAGTAACATTTTCTCTCTTTGGAGGGGAGTTGGGACAAGTCTTTTTAAAGATTGGTCATTGCATAGAACTGCTTCAGCAAGGTTGCTTTTCTCATATCTAATCCCTCCCCAAAGTGGCCTTCTATCTCTGAGGGCTATTGCAATCTCTTCACCCTGTCTTCAGGCAATTTGTCAATTTCAGTAATTGCGGGTTGGTCATGAAACTTTTGCAGTGAAGCTGCTACACCATAGCCATTTTTCCCCAAGACCTGGCAGTTGTGTGAAGCTGGACAAGTTTCTTCCGCAACCCTCCTTTAACTCTTGACAATGCGCCCTGCAAAATACAGTAAAAAGCTAACATCCCCTCCCTTTGTTTCTTCAGGCACGGCACCTTGCTTTTTGTTTAATTTCCCCAAATGTGTTTCTCAGAGAGGTGGTGGGATATGTTTAAGCAGAGGTTGGATGTTTGACGATGCTTTCATTTGGCTTCCTTCCCTAACCAAGAGTCGAACTCATGGAGTCTCACTGGCTCCTTTCAGCTCAAAGATGGAGGGGAGAGGGGTGTTAGGCAGGTGGAAGTTTGAAAAACCAAGTTCAGCGTGAACCCTTGATTAATGAAATACAATTCAGCAACGGGGAAACATTTCACATGTGCCGTCTGCCCTATTTAGGCATTATTGTAGTTTTAAAGTGAGCCATGGAGAATGTTCAACATTGCAGCTGTGTCACCAGGAAGTAATTTTCTTTCCTCTTGACTTTTGCTTATGTTAACCTGCAAAGTTCTGCCTGAAAAACAGAGGCCTTCAGTTTAGCTGCTGCTCTTCCACTTTCCTTCAGAGCAAAAATAGGACATCTGGAAAGATCAGGGTAACCCTTAGCAAATGTACACACTGTCACTGATCAACTATTGTCTTCAACCCATCGATGCCTCTTTGTCCTGCACAACATCTTCTGCTCTTGATTGGCTAAATTAGGCTCTCTTGTTACTGGCAAATTCCAATAAATAAATTAGAACCAGGTTGCACTGCATATTGGGGCTGGATTGGCGCCTGTCCCTCTTCCTTTCTTGTCCGATGCAGCCATCTGGTTCTGTTGTTTGCCTCTATGCATGGCTTGGATTCATGTGGCCTTTGATACTGAGCCAGTTCGTTCCCTCCTCCTCTTGCTACAACAAGCAAATCCCAGCAGTCATGGGAGATCCAAAACAGAAAGAACTGGATCAACTTCCTTTTGTTCTCCCTTGAGTTCCTGATTCACCGGAGAATAACTTGCCCTGAAATGATCTGGCATTTCTACATCTGGTGTGTCTCTGTGCATACGTAAGGGCAGGATGAGGGGCGGGCAAGGGAGCCTGGATAGAACCAGAAGCTGGTTTTTGGGAATCCTGCTTCAGCTTATAAGGAAACCATGGAGTCTTAGCCATCATTAGGAAAAGAAAGCAGAAAAAGTGTGGGCAAAAAGTCTTGATTTAAATGGTAATGGGGGGGAAAAAATCTTCAAGTCAAGCTTAATCTCTAGTGAGAGAATTGAATTTGGTTAGTACTGTACTTGAATAGCAGATCTTAGGAAATCTCCCAGCATTTTTAGCTTAGATTGGGGAATTTGAAGAATATCCTGAAAGAAGGCAGTTGCTTCTAGGTTATTCAAGGAATATCTACCCTATTTTTCAGAGTATAACACAAACACACACACACACACACACACACACACACACACACACACACACAAATGGGTGAAAATTCCAGTTCATCTTCTACAAGCTATATACTCTCTACTTTACATTGTAGCCAAGTGTCATTTCTTCAGTGTTGTCACATGAAAAGATATACTTAAATTTGGATTTGAATTTAAAGTTTATTTATATGCCGCCCTTTTCCCTGGGGGGACTCAGGGCGGCTTACAACTTAAAAGAGGGGAAGG